CAATAATTACTGGAGTAAGGAATTCTATGATTTAATTTGACCATAAATATTGTATAAAAATCAATCCAATCTTATTTGGTTGTGTTTTACTAAGGGAAAACATTCTTAACAATAATAACTGGCTGTATAGGCTTAGAGTCTGCTAGTAACTAAATTGAGGGAAAAAGTGAAAATGCCATAAAGAAAGGCCTCCCTTTGGCTCATGCTACCATAAATAAGCATAAATGCTTCACCATGATGAAAAAAAAAGAAGATATATTTAATCAAAGAAGAATGCAAGTTTATAAGAGACAAGATGGAAAAAAACCCTGATGTCATCCTGGAACCATGAGAAATGGAGAACACAGGATGTACGATGGAGCTGAGAGGTGACTGAGAGCACACAGCAGTAATTATTACTCATTACAACGTCAGATGGACTAAAACCCCGGTTGTCCTAACAGCATGTCCGTGGCTGGCACAAGAACGTCAGTGAGGAGCTGGGGAGGCCTAGGGAGGAAGCTGTTTGGGGCCAAGACAGGAACATGAGGCAGAAGGTCTTCATGATGTCGCCATGGAGGGTGGCGGCTGGGCAGTTAAGGAGGCCCTCATCACTAGCTCAGAGAAAGAGAGGAAGACAGTCACCCTACGCAGAGAAACCGTGGGGGTTTGGAGTACCCCAAACCCTGGCTTGACAGCCTCTCACTCGAGGAGCACTTTCCAGTCACTTGAGCAGTGAACCCTCACAGCTTGGGCCACGTGCTAGACTGCGTTATTGTGACAGTCCAGGTAGCCAGCCAAGAAGTTTTGTTTGCCGAATGGAAAAGGACTAAAGTGGCATTAAAAGATATTTTGTGCCCTACGTAGAATTTAATCTCGGCGATTTTACAATTTCAATTATTTATAATTGTTCCTGTAATGTTTCATTTGCTTTGAAATGGATATAAAGACCAGAACCAACATGCACAATTTCATCACAAGCAGCTGCAGCACCAGCTCTGGTCTGGGGCCACCTCACAGCATGGTGACCTAGAGAGGAAGGGGCTCCAGAGGGCGACCACTGCGTTTTTTTATGTTGTAGGTGCTGTCTCTTTAAAATCACTGCTTTCGTTTTGGTAAAGATAGCAAGAGAATCCTGAGACAGTCTATACAAAGATGGAGGGGCCTTCTTCCTCTGTATTTTCTTGTTGTTAATCTTCATCTGAGGACATTTTCCTCTTGATTTTTAGAGAGTGTGGAAGAGAGAGGGAGAGACCCAGAGAGAGAAACATCGATGTGAGAGGGACATAGTGATCTGTTGCCTCCCGCATGCTCCCTGACCAGGCCCAGGGATGGAGCCTGCGACCGAGGTCCGTGCCCTTGACCAGAATTGAACCTGCGACCCTTCAGTCCACGGGCGGATGCTCTATTTATTGAGCCAAACCGGCTAGGGCTTCCTCTGTATGTTAACAACTGATGTGTAATCTACTTATACAGTGTGTTTAATTTAAAGTCCATTACCAGTTAAGTAGTACAGATGAGATGTGATAAACCCACAGATGATGATGGCTGTACCATCTTTCTTGTGAATGGAATAATGCTGATTAGCACATATGCAGCCTCATGGGGCAATGGGGAGGACAGTGAGCGCTCACAACAGATCTTTTAAGCTTCACTGCTCTGCTCTGTGATCAGTCCACCCACACATCGCTACGTTAGCTCAGTTCTCATTTCACAGAAGAAACGGGGGCCCAGAACAAGGAACTGACTGACTTCCTGATGTCCCCCATTTGCTAAGTGATTGATTCTGATGCTTCATGACTCCCAAACCAGTGCTCCTCCTGGACAGAGGAACATGTGTGCACGTGTGCATGTAATGGGGAGGGTGGGGACACATTGCTGAAAACACTCTAGCGTCCCTTCTCTGTGACTTGAGCAGCAAGACACTCAAAGTTTAGGCTCCATGTTGGGCAGTGTTACAATTCACAGATTCTCCTTTTCTAGAGATACTCTTCGTAAAGGCTCAGTTGCTAGAATCAAGGGGATTGTGAAGTTACTTGAAACTGTGGTCTAGGACACAGAACTTTCTCCCCAAGTCTCAGTCTCCAGGAGAATAATACCTGCCATATCTTTGTCATAAGGTTCTTCTGAGGATGGATTTTATAAAAGTACTTTATAAGCTGTAAAGCACATACAAATGCAAGGCTTACTACTTCCGGTGTTATTATATCAGATAATGCAGAATTAATACTTAGGCATATTAGCTCTTCAGCAAAACGTGAAGCAGCTCCCCAAGTCTCAGTCTCCAGGAGAATAATACCTGCCATATCTTTGTCATAAGGTTCTTCTGAGGATGGATTTTATAAAAGTACTTTATAAGCTGTAAAGCACATACAAATGCAAGGCTTACTACTTCCGGTGTTATTATATCAGATAATGCAGAATTAATACTTAGGCATATTAGCTCTTCAGCAAAACGTGAAGCAGGCTAAGTGGTCTTTGGCTCACCACTCCCTATCCCCCTTTCTGGTCCTGTAGCTCCTCAACTGGAAGAACTGTCGGGCAGGCGATGGAGGAAGCATTCTGGACCCCACCCAAATGGCCCAGGTCAGGCTGCCTGCTCATCTGGATAACGCCAGCCTCACCTGTGGGAGTTTGGCTCCTCTGCTGTGGGTGCTCTACCTGTCTCTCCTCCACAAGCTGGGTAGGTGACAGGAAACTAGACTAGGGCAGAGGAAACAGTGACCTCTGAGGAGCAAGGGGTAGCAGGAAGGAGAGAGAAGATACACGAGAATATGCTCTGATCTGTACCAGGAAAGAGAGGAGCACGCGTGAAGTGGCACGCTGTGCCTGCATCCCCCGAGTCAATGAGTGCAGTGCAGCGAAGGCTCACCACAGCCTCACACTTGATCTGGGACCCTGAGAAAATGTAACCAAGTGGCTTCTGGCTCAGAATTCTTCCTGGCAGCTTCGAGTTCATTAAAAATACATTAAATGTCAGTGAGAATTTGCCATGGCATGTTGTTTTGCCATAAGAAAAATTTGTTAAATCAGGTCAAACATTTAAAAATGTTTGGGAGAAATCACACACACACACACACACACACACACACACACACACACACACACACACTGTTCTTTTTCTTTTTTATTGTAACTTGATGAGAAAGCTTTATCTGGAAAAGCCAATGTGGTTCTTTTCTCTCTATTCTTCTTAATATATATAGAACTATTGCCATAATATGAAGAAGAAGCATTGTCTTAGAGTGGCTAGTTTTTATTTTGATTTTTTTTGACCAAATGGTGCTGATCAGGCTATTGTCCAAATTTTAATTGAAAGAGAGAAGAAAATTTGGATTTACTGAAACTTACTACTTTTATTCCATTCTTAGAACAATTCTGTAGGGGAATGTTTTTATTTATATATTTTTTATTTGGGGGGAGTATTTTTATATGCACTTAACAGACAAAGCTCAGCAAAATCAGATAATCCTGCAAAGACCACAAGGCTCACAAGAGATAATAAGAAAAGCAATAAGAAAAAAGCAACAAACAGAGGAAACTATCTGGATTTCTAAAAGTCAGTTATTTGCTGGGGGTGAGAGAGGAGGTCTGGGAGGAGAGCAGATAAACCAAGATTAGCCAAGGGTTGATAATTGTTGAATCTGGGTGATGGGTTTCATTATACAATTCTGCCTGCTTTTGCATTCTTAAAAATCACCAAAATCAAAAGTCAAACAAAACAAAAGAGCTGCTTAAAGGATGTTGACAACATAGCAAATATTACATATAATAATCTTTTGTTGTTTATAGAAAAGATGGTAAAGTTTTACAAATGGAGGAAGAACCAATCTTTAATTCCTAGAGAAGCTTATCAAAATGTACCTGGGCAGTTACACATGACATGCAGCTTAACCTCTGCTCCTCAGAATGGGAATCGGCCCACTCCCTAGACTGTATCTTGGACAGTGAGCTGCTTCAGAGATTCTAGTTACTACCTGTATTATTTCTGCTAACTAGATTGGAGATTTATATTGTGGGATATGTCAGAAATGTTACTCATGTTACTTTTACCCTATTTGTAAGGTTTTCTAATGTTATCAAGAATTAGAAGAAGACAGTGAATCTTACAGATGGGAGAAAGAATATTTTACTACTGAAAAGTATTGCTTTACTTAAAAGGTTAACTTTAATTGAGACAGAGATAAAAGCTTTTATAGAAAGAATGACAAGCAGGTAAAATTACCTCCACTGCTGTGGGCCATTGTTAGGGCTTCCAAAGAAATTGCTGGAGTTACTTCTAGCTGGCAGATCATTACTTTGGCGCTGCTAATGGCATTGGCTGCTTCTCTCAGGTCTTCAGTATTCAAAAGTAAATTTGCTCCAGCCACTATCACGATGATATTCTGGCCTATAAAGAATTTCTATATTAATATAATGTTAAAATATAGGAAAGCCAAGCAGTGATATTCTGCAATGTTACAGTCACTCTTACAAAGTCATTACATGAAATGTGTTTTATGAATTTTAACATTTCTAGGTTAATTTTAAAATTCCTAATGTATTTTACAATATTTATGTAACATGATTCATATTCTAATCATTTTGAGCAAAATCTAAAAATGACTTCCTTTATCAGTATTCTTATATACAAAGACTATTAGCTGAGAAATGATATATAACATACATCAAATTTTCTTTTATGGGAAATGGCTGGTACAATGTATGTGGTAAAGACCCTTAATCCTGCCATAGCCAGTTTGGCTCAGTAGATAGAGTATCAGCCAAGGACTAAAGGGTCCCAGGTTCGATTCTGTTCAAGGGCATGTACCTCGGTTGCAGGCTCTATCCCCAGCCCTGGTCAGGGCGTGTGTGGGAGGCAACCAATGGATGTGTCTCTCTCACATCAATGTTTCTCTCTCCGTGTCTCTTCCCCTCCCTTCCACTCTCTCTAAAAATCAATGGAAAAATATACTCTGGTGAGGATAAACAACAACAACAACAACGACAAAAGATTCTTAATCCTAAATGACAGTGTCATAATGAATATAACAGGAAGAAACTTGCCTAATGCTAAAAACTAATGCTCTGTAGTATGCAATAAGTTTGAGGTGGGCTCTATGGTATTCTGAAAGTGATTTTGTAAATCAAACCACATTCTACAATATCTAGCAGATGAAAAATTGCACTAAATAACTTAAGGTAGAGAGAAGGATATTTGGTCTAGTCTGTATCAGATCAAATAGCAGCAGGACTCAGGAATCTTATACAGGGCGGGGCCAAAGTAGGTTAGAGTTGTCAGTATGTGAAACACAGTTTATTCTTGTATTATTATTTATTAGGTATTGTATTATCTTGCATACGATCAGCTTTAAACCGACTTTTGCCCTACCCTGTATACCCATCACTTGGACCTAAATGCGGGAGGTGTGGTGGTACATTTCCTCTGTTAGATGAACTCTCAAGAGCTGTGCTGCCCGATATGACAGTAAGAAGCACAAGCCACATGTGGCTACTGAGCGCTTGAAATGCATTAGTTCAAATTGAGATTCACTTTAATTGTACAACACACAGAAGATTTCAAGGGCTGACTGAGTACAAAGAAAAGGTAAAATATCTCATTAATTTTTAAGAACTTTTTGATTTCATGTTGAAAGGATAATGTTTTGGATTTATTGGGTTAAGGGAATATATTAGGATGAATTTTACCTGCTTCTGTTTACTTTTTTAAGTGTGGCTAATGGAAAACTTAAAGTTGCGTATGTAGCTTGCATTGTGTTTCTATTGGACAGTGTTGATCTAGTGGGATGAATTGCAGGAGTATTTTTTGGTGCTGCAGGCTGCTCGTGCTGCTCTTGTACAGACATGACCTAAAATTACCTCCGAACACAGAACACATGCTAGCCTATCATCTTACCACAGATGTGTTTGTTGGCCACAAGGAGGATTTAATAAAGTGGGGATGGGTTCAGCGTAAACCCAATCTCGGTGCTGGAAAAATTCAAAGTACCCACACACTGAAAGACAGCTTACCTCCTTCCCTTTCTCCTCAGTGACCTCACTCTCTGCTAGAGTCAGCTGCTGCTTCGGTGTTGCTGACTCCGGAATCTGCATTTCTGGACTGGCCGTGGCTGATGAGCAACAAGCCCAAGACACCGCTCTATGGTGGGCACTGCCGTGTGGCTAGCTCACCCATGCCTCCGCTTTAACGTATAAAAACTGAATTCTCTGCTCGACCTTGCTACTCACTCATTTAAAGAAGCTGCTCTGAGTATTTGGATTAGCTCGTCTACTACCACCTATACTCTTTAAAAAAAATTTTTTTTTTATTATTGATTTAAGAGAGGAAGAGAGAGGGAGAGAGATCGAAGCATCAATGATGAGAATCATTGATCAGCTGCCTGCTGCATGCCCCCAACTGAGGATCAAGCCAGTGACTCGGGCATGTGCCCCGACTAGAAATTGAGCCGTGACTTCCTGGTTCATAGGTTGACGCTCAACCATGCCACGCCATGCCAGCTGGGCACCACCTATACTCTTAAGGGCATTACCATACTCTATAAACAGACATAATAGGCACTCGATACAAAATATTAAATTATATTTTTGCACAAAAATGCAGTATTTTGTACCCAGACAAGGAAGAAACATAACTCAAAGATATCCCTAGGACACAAAAAAGAGGTTTAAGGCAGGGAATGAGCTGCTGTTGGCAGCAATAATCACTTAAGAGGTAGCTTACAGTAATGAACACTGACTATTGTTAGAATGAAAACTTTTATTGACTGTCTTTAAGTGGGACACTGCAACTTTGGGATCACTAAAGGTAAAAATACTATGTCTTCTGTAAGAAATGATCTTGTGAAACTGCAATATAAGTTAAAAACATATTGTGACAAATCCTAAGCTAACATAATGCACGCTGACTGCCCATAATGCTCTCAGTGGTCGGCAAACTCATTAGTCAACAGAGCCAAATATCAACAGTACAACGATTGAAATTTCTTTTGAGAGCCAAATTTTTTAAACTTAAACTATATAGGTAGGTACATTGTTATTCCTTTAATTAAGGTACTCCTAAGGCTTAGGAAGAGCCACAGTCAAGGGGCCAAAAAGCCGCATGTGGCTCGCGAGCCGCAGTTTGCCGACCACGGCTCTAGGTTCTGTCGTAGGTGCCCCATAAAATGCTTGGCCATTCTAAATATTAATTCTGATTTTTAAAATTGTATGGTGGTGTTTTTATACTAAAAATAGTTGGCAGAAATCATAAAAACTTTACTTGAGGGCAAAGGGAAGTTACTCTTTTCAAAGACAAATGTCTCACTATTGGAAGGCCTTGTGACAGACACAGTTGTATATATAGACTTTTGAGATTTGATTGCTGTTTAAAGAGCAGACAAAATTGAACACTAACGACATGTTAGAAGTAATTAGTTGCTGCCATTTGCTCAGTAAATATTCTATAAATATGATTCATCAACTTTCTTTTGCACCTATCTATTTACATTTATTTACCTGGTGTAACTGAAATGACAGATGAATACTTAACTGCTTTTAGAGACAAATATCAATTTTGAGTTCACATGAAGGGTAATGGGGTCTTACAGGATATAAAGATTATTTTGAGGCAACTATATAATGCTTCATATGTATTAGATGGACAATTTTATATTTGAATGAGCAGCCTGGGATGTATAAGTAAGGGAAACATTTATATTTAGGCTGGAAAGACCATGCTGTAGGCCTGGTGGGTATGGTAAGAGATCCATAAGATTAGGATAAAAACTGATGCTTCTGTTCTAGTTCTGGAAATGCACTGTTTTATGAAATGACACTTCAATATGCAAAACACATACCTTCTTTATTGACAATTATAGAAGCAGTTCCTGTAGCAGCATCTTTAGTTTGATATGTAAATTCTAAAGGAAAAAAAATTACAATCACGTATACACAGCCTGGCTTGGATAATTTATTTTAACAATTTCAATGCACCTCTAATCCTTAGAAAACTTTTTAACCTTTTTAACCATCTGGAATGATAAAAAAGAAATAAGTAATTAGTGCTAATTTATACTCATCACCTATACAATGAGGAAAATACAAGTCTTTATACTTAGTTGCACCTTTTCTTTACATTAGTAACAATCTAACAAACCACCCTGCTTCCAATTCCCCCAAATTATTCATAGTTGTATGCATGTGCATTTCCCTGCACTACCATGTTCAGTGAAAGAAATGACAAACTTGAGTGCAAGACTAAAGGTCAAACCTATAAAATCAACCTGTTTGTTTTTCTTCATTCTCATAAACTTTGCATCTCATCAAGAATTATGGCCTGGCATGTAAATGGTGATGTTGACCAGGCAGCCTTCGGCAGCAGCAAAGAGCCTTGAACTGGGGCCAAAGACCTGCATTCTGGTCCTGGCTGTAGCTCCAACTAGCTGTGCTCTTGGACAAAGTCATAACCTCTCTGGCCTTCGGTGTTCTCTTTTATGAAATAACTAGAGGCCCGATGCATGAAATTCGTGCAAGAGTAGGCCTTCCTTCCTCCGGAAGGAGTTTGGTTATGTTGACACATCAACCAAACTCCCTAAACTCCATAGTTTACATTAGGGTTCCCTCTGGTGTTGTACATTCTATGGGTTTTGACAAATGTATAGACAAGTACCCTGAACCGGCTTCCCTCTGGCACCTGGGACCCGGGCTTCCCTTGCAGCCCCAGCTTCGTCAGGAAGGTCATCTTGAAGGATGTCTGGAAGGACGTCTGGTCTAATTAGCATATTATGCTCTTATTATTATAGATAGTATCAGATCTCAATGGTTTCTAAGATCATTTCCAGCTATGACTTAATGATTTTTCTTAAAATATCTTCTGTGAATGTAGCACCTATTTTCTCTTGTCACCTGCTTTTGAAACATTTCCATGAATTGAAGGTTTGTAACCTGTTGTCTGGAGGAATGTACATGAAAGAATTAACCATAGGCTATTTAAGCAAGGCTAGACAAAGCTATGCGTAAAAATTCCCTGGCCACCAGGGGAGGATCTAATAATTCTATTCTATATTCAGCTTTTCTTGTAATCAGATCACAGAAGAAAGTTATAAAAACCAACGTTAAAAAAGATGAAATTTTACCTGTAGAAATATCATTCTGTTTAAAGTTTTCTATGTAATCATTGCCAAAAGAATCTTTGCCAACCTGTACCAAAGAAATGATGAACATTAGATCTTTTGCATTTAGTAAAATGCTACAATGTAGTTTTTAGAATACTTAGCATTTTGAAAGGGCATATCTGCACAGTACTTTATAAACATTAACTAATTAATCTTCTTAATGTACGTTGCTAGACTTGGTTTCAGCCCAAAGAATTGTTATATACTAATGTTCCACTTATATCCTTCTTAAAATGTGAAGCATTTTAATGATGCTCACCAGTTCCATAGGTTCACTTTCACTTTGATCTGATCATGTGGAAATTCCCACTGAGACAGAGCTGTCCACCATCAACTATCCTCAATATTTATGAGGAGTCTCAGTTGTTCATACTTCACTATAAATGACAGGATCTTTGTAATGACTTGCCTGGTGTCTTAGAATCTTCATATCTTCTCCCCAGACCCTGACATGGAGCGCAGGAGGGAATTTAAAAAGCCCTTGCTACCTTAGTATAGTGGAATTTCTTCGTTTTTGCATTCTTGCCTCCATTCTGGTAATGATACTTCAGTTTTTCCTTTAGACATGTATTCCTCGTTCAGTCATAGGCAACGTGATCAGAGGGGCACAGTTGTAAAATCAATGAACCTATGTTGACACATCAACCAAACTCCCTAAACTCCATAGTTTACATTAGGGTTCCCTCTGGTGTTGTACATTCTATGGGTTTTGACAAATGTATAGACAAGTACCCATGATTATATTCTCATACAGAATGGCTTCACTGCCCTAAAAATCCTCTCTGCTCTGCCTATTCAACGCTGTCTACCCCCCAGCCCCTGGCAACCACTGACCTTTATTACTGTCTCTATCATTTTATCTTTTTCAGAGTGTCATATAGTTGGAATCACTCCTGAACTATACTTCTATTTTTCTGTCCTGCAGGTGAGCACTACAGCAATGGATTATGTCTCTGTCCAGGTCTCAGCCCCTCCCGGTGTGTTCTGCTTGCCCACAGAAAATTGTTCCTGTCTGGATACATCAATAGAAAGAAACCTAGACATTTACTTGAGTCAGGATCTGCAATGAGTGATGATAAAATTTCCTGGTGAGCATGTGGACTGTCTAGATCAGGCATTAGCCACTGTTTTTTACTGTGAAGGACCAAATACGTAATATTTTATTTATTTGTTTATTCTTTATTTTCAAATAGTTAATATTTTAGACTTTGTGGGCCATATTGCCTCTTATACAACAATTTACCCCTGCCATTGTAGAGTTGGCGGCCAAAGATAATATGTCAACAAAGGGATGTGGCTGTATTCCAATAAAACTTGATTTACAAAAATATGTAGTGGGCAAGATCTGCCCCATGGATCATGTTTGCTGACCCCTGATTTAAATGCCACTTTTGATACCTTATTCTGCAAAAGAACACCTTTCCTTGTGCTCCTTTCTGGCTCAAATGCTGACTAGGCAGTAATCTCAAGCAATATGTAGTAGCTTCTCCCTAGCAGAATCTCTGTCTTTATAATGAAGAGTGTCCACTCCAGTGTTGCTGTGGGGAGAATTCCCTGTGGAAGGAGGCCATCTACCAAAAGTTTCCTCCCCGGAAGGCTAGCTGTTCCCTTGTCTGGCAAGTAAGTGCCAAAGCATCCTATTTCCTAGGTCAAAGGTTCACACCAGAAGACTCTTGAGAGCTGAGTCAAGTTCTCTCATCTTTTTTTTTTTACATTATTTAACTCTTTCCCATGGGCAATCAGGGTATTATATAGTTGGGAAAGTATCATTATAAGAATGTTCTGGGGTTGAGAAAAGGCCATCCCTAGGCATGTGGGGCGTGATACAAACTAAAGCAAAGAAATTTCTCTTCCCTTTCCTATCAGTTTTATATGGGATAGATCTGTTGAAGGTGACTATCAAGGGCAGGTAATAAATGGTGGTTATGACATAAACATTAGCAAGTGCAGGGGTTAGGAGGAATTGTTTCTTTGCCCTCGAGAAACTGATACTATTGGGGGGAAATCAGACAGACCAGGTGGAACAGCATGAGCATCAGAGGCATAATTGGGAAGGATTTCATGCTCAGGTAATTGCATTTGCAGACTTGCTGTAGTCGTATTTTAGAGGCTGCGGTAGCTGCCTGTCTTCTTCCTGCTCAGGACACCGTCTGATTGGCTACATCCCTGGGTGATGGTTATGGTTCCAGCTTTATTTTAATAGTGATTTCCTGGCAAATCTGTTGGCTGGTCTTCTAAACTCTATGTGAGACATGGGACAAAATACTGTGTTTTTGCCTTCTTTGATATTCTCTTGTCAAAAAATAAAAATCTGGTAACTAAAAAATAATGGAAAAGTAACAAGACTGCTGAGGATTAAGAGAAGTCAACTGAAGCTCCATTAACTTTACATCACCCAGGTCATTACAAAGTGAAAGAAGTGATGAAAAGCCTGAGAATGGGAAGACAATATTTCCTTTGTGTCATGGAAGCCCCTCACGCTAGCTGTGTGGTTTTGGGCCAGCCGCTTTAATTCTCCGTAGGCTCAGTGTTCTTATCTGGAAAGCCACAGCAAGTTTGCTGTGAAGATAAAGTAAAATAATGTGCATAAAAGTATGTTTAGAGCTGTTAAGGATTATCATAAAAGACTAAAGAAAAATACATAAAATTTGTTTTGGGCTTGGTGCCTTCATCATCATCATCATCATCATCATCATCAGGCTGCTTCTCTTGGGGGAAGGGGCTCCTGCTGCTTGGATTCAGTCTCATAAACTACTTTCATGTCCATCTTGTTCTCCCTGATGCTTCAGTTCTTCCTGTGGCTTCTTATTTTTAAACAGGAGAGCATTTGATCATGGAAGCAAGCATGTGGATACATTAAATAATTTTTAAAATGAGACTGTATTTATTACTCTTATTGTTCTAATAAAAACATAACATCTCCGTTAATGGTTTGGTGCAACGAATGCTGTTCAACGTATCCTGCTACTTTCCTGAGAATAATATAGCCAACTGGGAGGGTATCTCTGCCTTGGGAGTAATAGTTAAGCTTTATGTAGAACTAAATTACATATCAAAATGCGGACAAAAAGCAATGGGGATCTGAGTCCTATTTAAAAGGATCCTCTTTTTCTTTTGCATTATAGAGTTGCACAGATGACACGTGCAATTTGTACTAAAAGAATGCCACCTTCCCTGTGTCCCCACCCTCAAAACCTCTCACACATTCATGTATTTTTCCGGATTTATTTTTAAAAAGGTTGTGAGAAGTAAACACCGTCCAGTCCCATTTGCTTGCTTCTGACTCTAATTTAAACCTCTTCCCCAGTAACTGGAAATTGATAACCAGAGTCAGAGGAGCAGAACCCAAGCAAGGGTGTCGTTCACAGTCGGCCATTGAGAGCGAGAGCAAGTGTCTCGAAAAGCACAGTGAATGATACGAATGAAAGAACCTGGACAGAACAAGGACTATTCTAAAGGAACCTTCATGGGGATCTTGGGAGGCTTCCCTGTTTTCCTGGTCACACGTTGGCTATCAAGTTGATATGAAAACTTTATCTTGGCTGGTCATGAGGCAGAATGGTGCATATGGAAGTCAGGAAACCTGGAATCTAATTTCAGTTCTGCTGTTACCAAGCTGATTAAAATTCTTTCCTACGTTTTGGGGCAAATTGTTCCATCTGAGCCAGGCTGTAGGGTGGGACTGGTTGGTGTGAGGAAGGAAACCAATAATTCTCAGCCTTAGCTGCTCATCAGTGTCTCCTGAGAAGCTTGGAAACATCCCGATGCTCAGGGTACACCCCAGACCAATTGAATCAGGCCTCTGCAGGTGGGACCGGGCACGCTCCCCAGGTGGTTACCATGTGTGAACTCCACTCGAGGGTTGGACCGCTGATTGCAGGATTAAAGTGGGAGGTGTCTGTAGAGGCTTGTGTGCACAGAAGAAGTGAAGAGAGAGCACAGTCCTGCCTGGCACTAGGTTGGTAAGTCCCCTAAGTGGGAACACGGGGAAGTGTGACCTGCAGAGTCTGCTGGGGGCGAGGAGCCCATCAGGGTCCAACACTGGGATCAAGGTATTGTGAAGCCCAAGAGATTTCCTTGGCTTGTGTTTGCTGACTAGTCTCATTTTGACGTGGCCCAGGCTTCTTCCACCTCTAGCCTTCTAAAGCAGCGGTTCTCAACCTGTGGGTCGCGACCCCTTTGGCGGTCGAACGACCCTTTCACAGGGGTCGCCTAAGACCATCCTGCATATCAGATATTTACATGATGATTCATAACAGTAGCAACATTACAGTTATGAAGTAGCAACGAAAATAATTTTATGGTTGGGTCACAACATGAGGAACTGTATTTAAAGGGAGAGAAGGTTGAGAACCACTGTTAAAGCTCATATTTGGCAAAACTGTGGACAACCCCTCACACTTAAACTAAGGGGTTGAGAACCACTGTTAAAGCTCATATTTGGCAAAACTAGTTGGGTTTATGTTTCTCAGTGTTCGGTAGAGGCGCTATTAAGTTGACATTATCATCTGACTGTGTTAAAACATTATGTGAATACAATATATTCATGACTGTATCCTTGCCTTCACTTCTGAGAACTTAGAAGTCCTTTCCTCTCTCCTCCACTTCATCAAACCTCACTTGTTTTTTCAAGCATCAGCTTAAGGCCTACCTTTCCTATTTACCCCTTGTTACTCTTATTTCCAGAATTCCTATAGCCTTCTTCATGGATGCTATGTAATTAAGCATTTAATTGAATACCATCTTATATCGTTTGCCTAAATAATCTTCCTTGAAGTCTAGTCTTTCTAGAAGCTTACTGGAGACCCTAGCTTAGCATACATTTATCCGTCCTTAAGCCTGTGCATTAAAGGTGTTCTGTGAGTATTTGATCATCTTAGATGCCTGTCTGTTCGTTTTCCTTGGGCCTGTTTATCGTTCAGAAAGGGACACGACTGTATAGCACCCGCACTGTTCTAGTTGTGGCCGCAGAAAGGTTTTCTCCAAGGTGTTGCTCCTAATAGCCCGTGTGAAGGCCCTCCATCC